TCACTCAAAAAAAAAAATAAAAATTTAAGCACTCTCTCTTTGTTTCACATAAAATATGAACAAGAATATCATTTAATGATTATTTTCAAGGAAGAATTTGAAACTATCTACCTGTATTACCTTAATAATGTTTTTTTTTATAGATATGAAACCATCAAGTAAAATATTCTCATTAATATGTATATTATTTGATGGCTATTAAGATGATTGACAAACAGTATCTTGCTTTAACAATCAGTGCCTATGTCTGTGTGAATGTTTATTTATGTTTCTGTGAATTTTCAATTGTTTATGTGTTTGTGATAGTGGTAATGATAATAATGACAATAATAATAACGATGATGATAAAGGTAATAATGATAACAATGATAACAATGATAAAGTAACTGTAAAGAGTGTGAAACAAAACAAAAAATTGTATTCAAATATTCTTTATTTTTTGCATTCCTATAAAGAACATCCATTTTATCATGCTTTGTGAATTCCTCGTTCAAAACACAAGAAAGAAAAATAGGTAGATCTAAAAGAAAGAACATTTCCGAAGGAGATACAGTCAGACCTTAATGCCAGAGGAGAGAGAGAGAGAGAGAGAGAGAGAGAGAGAGAGAGAGAGAGAGAGAGAGAGAGAGAGAGAGAGAGAGTGAGAGAGAGAAAGAAAATTTCCGAAGGAGATACAGTCAGACCTTAATGCCAGAGGAGAGAGAGAGGGAGAGAGATAGAGAGAGAGAGAGAGAGAGAGAGAGAGAGAGAGAGAGAGAGAGAGAGAGAGAGAGAGAGAGAGAGGGGGGGGGTAGGCATAGCCTTGTGGCACTATAGTAAGGGTCCATATCCAGTTTGTGTCTCAGTAGGCATACTTTCTTCCTTACCAACCACCACGTCCTGAAAAAAGACACGGGATATAGAAATATAGAAATATATCTGTAATACAGTTCTAAGCTGGAGTAACATCCTCATTCTTTTTTGTCTGTCTGTCTGTTCGTTTGTTAGGCTATTCTTTTTATTCATGCATTAATATGAGTGTCTGTTTGATTTATATAGTTATTCATTTCCATATTTATCTATCTATTTGATTACTTATGTTTCCTTGTTTATTTTATTATTAATTATCCATTTACATGCTTGAATTATGTACAAGATCTTGCTTACTTGTTAATATGTTTACTCAAAAAAATATTTACTTATATGATTATTTATATATAATCTTATCATCCAATCTTATAATTAGATGTATGAGGAGTTGCAAAAGCATAAAGACAACAACCTGAAAGCAACATTCATAAACCGAAAGGCCCTGAACATGTGTGCAATTCCTCAAGTTGCATGTGTGTATTTTCTAGGCATGCAAGAGGCATAAGCATCCGATTGAAATAATTTGTGTATGTGTTGTTGCAAATGCAATTGAATTTGCGTGACCACGAAGGAAGTATGCGTGCTTGTTACTTCTCCAGCGAGAACAGATAATATGAGAGAAGAACGCAGTGACCATTACGAAAAGCTGAGGAAAAGCTTTCCCTCTTTATATCTGCTTGTAAAATTATTTCGTTGAAATTAGAGGTGTATGTATGCGTGGTTCAGCACTGTAGAAAAAAAAGCTCTCAGTAATCTCGAAATCTTTGCAACTTGCGACGGGCAACAGGAAAAGCAGAAAAGTGTTTTTGCCAACCGAATGCTTTCTCTTCCTGACGGGCAACTGTGGAGTGCACTTCCCGCTCTGTCTGGCGAAGGTCAGATTCGATCTGCAAAGAAAGACCGACGTCAACATACTGCGGGAGGATGTCAATGTGTATACGACAGTAGACTCCAATAGATACAGAATGTGAGATCTTGCGATGCGGGGAAAGGGAGGAAGTGTAAGAAAATGAGAGAGAGAGAGAGAGAGAGAGAGAGAGAGAGAGAGAGAGAGAGAGAGAGAGAGAGAGAGAGAGAGAGAGAGAGAGAGAGAGACAGACAAAGAGTTAGATAACAGTCAATCAGATGGACAGAGAGAAAGAGAGAGAGAGAGAGAGAGAGAGTGAGAGAGAGAGAGAGAGAGAGAGAGAGAGAGAGAGAGAGAGAGAGAGAGAGAGAGAAGAGAGAAGAGAGAGAGAGAGAGAAAGAGAAAGAGAGAGACAGAGAGAGACAGAGAAGAGAGAGAGAGAGAGAGAGAGAGAGAGAGAGAGAGAGAGAGAGAGAGAGAGAGAGAGAGGATGATGATGAGATAAATCCAAACACGTCTTAAAGACCCCTACATTTCTTGTTTATTTTACCTGAGCCATTTCGCTATCAAGCCTCTTACTCTCCTCCTTGGCCTTGCTGAGGCAGGTGCGGTATGCTCTCTTTGGATACCACACTACAGGGTCCGTGACTACATCAACTTTTCCGTCAGCATGCTTGGTGTAACTGATCTATATGGATGATAAATGATGGTTTCAATATCAAAGGCAATACATTAGCCGTTGTTAGGATGTGATGTCTGTTGCTTTACGGTTTCTACTTTAGTTTAAGAATATTTCATAATTAT